ACTAAAATATGCAAAATATTTGAATTTTTCGCTGCCCTATATCCTTGCATTTTTACTAACGTCGCTGCAGCCTCATTGTGACGTCACGTTTCTCCGTGTATATTTCTACGCGTGAGTACACACGAGAATGGTTTTCAAATCAATTTCACGGTTGGCTTAATAGAAAAAGACAGCGAATGTAAATATATTAAAATGACAGACAACATAACAATGCACAAACATATTTTTGTTGATGTTTACACGTTTCTATTCATTTTCTGGAGTTAAATTACAGCTCTAAATACCAATATTATGAACACCTGTGTTCTAAAATTGACTTCATCTCACCAACTATGACGTCATAATGCAGCACTGATTTAGTCAACGTAGAATATTTTGTGTGCTTCCTTATTACTTCCCTGTACGCCCCCTTGTAAAATATTGATCACCTCTTATGGTTCAACCCTGTTTTGGAGGTCATGATTTGGATAAAGTGTTATAAAACCTTAATTTCACCTAGAAATAAACATTTTTCTGACTCAGTGGTTTTTGAAGATAACATTATTTTATATTTTCTGTCATTCTTATCTTTTCTTAAAGAGGGCTTGAGCCTTCCTTTGAGCTTCCTTTTTTTCCTTTAACGGAGAACATTTCCGGCAGTTTTGTTTAAATTGGTACAACAGTTTTTGAGAAGATGATGTGTATTTTCGCATTTACCTATATAATGATCTGTCCTTTGATGTGAAAACTGCAATTCTACAATGTATTACAACGGCATGCATTGTTTTAACATTTGAACATTTTCTGCTTCTTCTCTGAAACCATTTAATATATTTCATAGCAAAAGGCTAAAGCCATTAGATTTAAGGCAATCTTTGAAGAAATCTTCTATACTCATGGACATCAAGCAGTCAACCTGCTGCAAAAATTGTAATAGGCATAGCCCTTTTCTTTGAATTTTGAATTCGATTGCTGCAGATTCAGTAGTTCTGGTTTTAGGCCGGGCTTTGTTTAATATAACGTGAAAATGGATAATTAATTTCTTTGATGATCCTTTCCTCTGTTCCTTTCTATTAAATAAACAAAATGAATGCATTGCTATTATGAGTAAGGGTGCCTCTTTCAAACTGGTTATTCCGTGGCCTCTGGATTAAAGATTCTGATGTTAAGGCGTGAATCTAATAATTACATAGAAAAATGTGTTAATTCTCTGCCCGTTTTCTCCTAGATGAAAGGCCGATGAACAAAGAGTAAAGATACGATTAGTAATGATGCCTAATCCAAAATTGTGAATTTTATAGCCCCTAGGCCAGGGTTTTAGTGTAAGGGTGGGTCTTTAAGTCTCTAATGATTACAATATAAAAATGTATAAATTCTTTTTAAAAATCCCTCTATATTAAGCAATACTAGTAACCTTTGTGCATGGAAGGTTGTCTCTTACAAAAATATGAAATATGTGGACCAAGGGAGTTGCTTTAGTACATTTGGACTCTTTTGTTTAAATTGCAATAATGCATTAATGCATTAAATATTTTTCCTCTGCTGCTTGGTACTAAATAAACAATCTAGTTGTGTAGTTATATTTAGCAAGAGAAGCTCTCCCAAAAATTGAAATGTGTAGCTTCAGGGTCAAGGGCTCCTATGGGGTGGAGCTCTACTGATAGTAATTGTATTCTTTCTATACATCTTTTTTTTCCTATCATGGGTATTTACCAAACAATCTGAATGTATATTTATGATGAGTAAGGGGTCCTTTTCCAAAAACGGTGAATTTCATGACCCATTGGTTAGGAGCTCTGGTGTAAGGGCGCGGTACGCTGATTAGATAGTAGAGATGCATTTTTTTAAATATCTTCTCCGATCCTTTGTATCTCTCGAACTGAATGTATATTTATGATGGGTTAGAGATTTTCATAAAAAAATAGTGACCTTTATTAATGCCCCCTGGGTCAGGGGATATTGTATAGTCGCAGATCTAAAGATTATATTGTAAAAATGCAATAATACCTTGAAAACCTTACCATTTTCTCATGGGTAATAAGCCGATGAACTAAGAGTATAATTATGATGAGTACGGATGTATTTTCTAAAACTGTGAATTTCATGGCCCCAGCGTAAGGGTTCTTGTGTTTGTGTGGGAATCTGATGATTACAAAGTGAAAATTCATGAACTATTATTGTCAAGTTTTCGATTAATTATTGTTTTGGAGAAATATTATTTTTCATATTCAGCTTGGGGTTTTGAGTCTAGTTGCCATGGCCTGTATAATGTTTTATTTGTCAAGCCACGAAAAAGATTATATATGGTTACGAGTAAAGCTTAAATTTTGATTTCTTGAATTTTACCTTTGATCTTTGCCATGAAATTCTTCTCTTTGCATTAACCTTGCTTAGATTAATTAGCAGGTAAATGATATATTGTCGAGAGATATATTAGCCCTTTAAAAGTACAGCTTACTCCACTTATATTGAACTCGCTTATTTTGAATTTCCGGTTATTTTGAAATAGTAATAAATCCCTCGTTTTTGCCTCTCATATTCTTTCCATTAAAATAACGGTTATATTGAAATCGGGTATATTGAAATTTGGCTTATATTGAAGCCACTGATCGGTCCCCACAGGTGATAATGAGTTGTTTTTATAACGGTTATATTGAAGTACCCTGGCGGCTGTGATTACGGTTGGTGACAGTAATTACACGTATGCCTGACTGACCAGTTGATATAAAAAGGAGTGAATAATAAGTTTTCACCTTATGTGTTTTTATACTGCATGCTCTCACAAAAAAAATCTTCACTGTTAAATTCTTTGCGTCCTCGTATATAATACGGACATATCGAGACTAAACAGCTAAACCTAATATAGTAACCCCCACTAATCTAAGAAAAAACATAACTTTGTAATTAAATACGTACTGTTAATGTCTATTGATGTGCCTAAATTCGAAATAACTCAGGTATTAACCCGAGTACACTAACAAGGAAATACAAGCAGCGTTCAGCAGTACTCAACCTTTTAAGTCCGGTGAATTTTCTCCAAAACATAAATAAATAATATCGAGACATAATAATTGAGGGTTATAGTCTGTCTTTTCAATGAAATAGAAATAAAAAAATTAAACCTTCAAGGATTCAAATCTTCATATTCTATGTAATCTGTTCACTATTATAGATAAACGATGACAAATTACTTTGTTCGGATTTGTTCTTCTTTATTTAAGATCGGTATTGAACTTGAAAAAAGACGGCTTCACGATTTCCCTTATATTGAATTACGGATATATTGAAATAATTTGCATCATCCTCTGAATTTCAATATATCCGTATAAGTCCTTTAAAAGTACAACTGTATATACAGGTAGTTTGAGACTATATTTTCCATGAAGCTTATATTTGAACCCATTTTAATCCGTCTTTATTTTTCATATTTGTAGAATGATGAATTTTGTTCTAAATGGACTTGAATTTTTTTGTCATCACAACAGCATTAATGCAAGTTCAACCGTTGGATTGTTCGTCAAACAAACGTTGTGTGTGTCATAACTTTAATGGAAAATTATGGGCAAATTGTGAACGCCTCCGTCTTGAGACAGCACCGTCGTTTAGCATTGACGTCATAGGAATAAATCTGGCGGACAACATTCTTTCCAGTTTTCCTACCAATCTTCCTCTACATATCCTACATCTAGATGTCTCGAAAAATCATCTGGCTAACATAACTGAGAATTCACTGGCAATATATAGTTATCTGAGAAATTTATGTATTTCGGAAAATTACCTTCAGATGAAAGAACTGGGTTCCTTTAAAAAATCTTCAAATTTGGTGCATCTTGATATTTCCGGTAATCAGGAACTGACTCTTGAGGTAATAGCCAACATATCGAGTAATTTAAGAAACTCTACTTTCATTCGAGTATTAAATTTTGAAAAACTGCTTACTTAAAGAATACACATTTAGAGGAACTTAACTTGGCTTCTAATCGCATCTACATTCTTGATTATGGTGTTGTCAGCGAGTTACCAAAGTCACTGAAATATCTGAATCTGGCTTACAACGTACTCAGTTTTGGATCATATATTCCAGATTTATCTTCTCTAATTAATATAATTACAATTGATGCAAGCTTTCTGTCCCCCTATCATCAAATAAAACCGAGGAATTACTTCTCACGCTGTACAGACACAAAGCCGATATATGGGACTTCATCAGAAAATGAAGATGGAGAAATAATAACAAACAAGCTGTAAAGTTCACCTTTCCTACCACAATTTGATGTAGTCATCTATCTTCCACCTAACCTAGAAACATTATATTTTCACGACAATTTGTATGAAATGACCCTGAGTGGTTTTCAACGCCATTCTGTCAAAAGCATATTTTTACGAAGCTTTATTTGCAAAACAACATAATCTATGAACTAAACGGTCCCTTTACAGGCATCGAAAATGTTGTTTATGTAGAACTTATCTAATAATTTTTGCAGCTACATTTCGCCGACGTTTTTCCAAAATTTTAAATATTTATCCTATCTTGATCGTTCCAATAATGCTTTAGATAAAACTCTGGAAAATGATTCTGAGGGAGAGATTTTTCAGAATCTGCTCATGTTGAAAACTTTAAACCTCTAACGAAACAGAATCGCCCGACTCCCCAAGAAAATATTTCTGAATCTGGAAAATGTAGAAATTCTTAACCTCAGTGTCAATTCTTTGAGTACGTTTATAGTACCAATCAGTCATATGGATCACCTGTCTTACCTCGACCTCTCTTATAACCAGATATCGTCCTTGAATAGAGAAACTAGGAAAATGTTGCATGTAATTTCACAAAAGAACCTTCCTTCTATATATTTAATGGGAAACAAATTAAGATGCGACTGTGAGGTCTTGGATTTTGTGAAATGGATTTTAAATAACAACAATATTTTTTTCCCTCGTTTTGATGAATATGTGTTTGATTGTTTTTAAATTCCTCGCAAATTCAATTATCAGATATTAAAAATATAATCCAGCAGTTGAAAAAACAGTGTTCCACGTATATTCTTCTAATTGTCATTATGGCGTCATTAACAATCGTTGTCTTGACAATCGCCATCAGCCGTATTGTTTACAGATATAGATGGAAACTAAGATTTATGTATTATATAGCAAGAGAAAATTATAAAATCAATGTTCATAGGCCAGATGCTTTATCTAATGACCCATACCATTTTGATGCATTTGTATCTTATGCCGATGAAGACAGAACATTCGTCATCAGTCTTGTTAAGCACTTGGAAAAGGAATTCAATCTTAGGCTGTGTATACATCATCGAGATTTCATCCCGGGGACAGGAATAGCAGAAAATATTACCAATGCCATTCATAATAGCAGGAAGACCTTTTGTATTATAACTTCACATTTCTTAGATTCGTACTGGCCCAAACAAAAACTTTTCTTAACAAATCATGCCAAAATCACATACAAATCATATCAAACTCACGAATTCATGGTTTTGAACTATGATTTAGACATGATCCATTAAATGGATCATACTGAAATCATAGATGACAAATAAGGAAGTATGATCCTGATGTGGTTTGTTTCTGGGGTATGAGTCTGCTGTGATTTTCTTGCGATTCTGGCATGTGCCTTTAACTTAGAAAACAAAGGAACATGAGTTTGAAATGATTCGTTAACTTTAACTGCTAAAAGTTTGTGATTTTGATATGGTTTCTTAACTTTGTCTTTAAACTCCATACGGGTTACACATGATCTGTTAACTTCTCTTTTGAGAATCATGAGTTTTATATGATCTGTTAACTTTGTCAGAATTGGTTGTATGATCCTGATATGGTTTGTTAACTTTGTCATCTGTGATAGGCGAAAATGCAAGCTTTAAATTCACTCTAGCTTGGAGAATCAAACAACATGCATACATCAATAATAGCCATATTTAAAATTTAAAGAGAACAGGAAAATTACGTTTTAATAATTTAAATGCACACAGCGTATACTGGTAGTTACAAAGACAATCATTTTTTTTAAGTTGAATGAAATGGCAAATAAATAAATTAATACAATAATTCATAAATAAATTAGCACACAAGTATACTGTTTAAATAACACAGCTAGGATTTTATTAAAATCTTTCTCTCCATATAATATTTGCGATCCACTCCCAATCTAACTTTGAGGCATCAGATTAGGATTGGCTCACTGGTCAGTTTCAGAGTCATAGTTACCTTGTTATGCAATTCTCCTGCCGGGCAGCACGCTGTAGTATACTGGTTTACAGCTTATCTAGGTCAGAATTTGAATTCTGATAACCAAGATGTGCGCGTTTTGTTGCCGATTTAAAAGAAAAGACTTTGCATCATATAAGCAATAAACACAAGTGCTGGACTATAAACTCTACTCGGTGAGTATAATTAATAATTTTATTATTGATTTTTTTAAAAAAATTCTAGCTTCTACCAGCTATAGTGCATGATTTAATTTTTCATTGTATATGCATGTGTATAGAAGAGACTTTATAACAAAGCTTTACATAGATTTGAATTGAAAACTTAATCATTTAAGCATCAAATTGACCTCCTTGATTCAAATATTTGTTGTACATGTACATTTGTAATGTAAATCATTATATAAAATGTTTATTTATAAAGATTTAATTCTTTTGCAGCTACTGTCAGTTCCATCTTCATGATTAACATCTGAGTTGCATTCAAATTACCACATTCGAAAGACCCACCTTTGGTGAAGACAGAATTTGTGTACGTAAAAAATATTACATTTTAACAATATTGTTCTTTTAGTGATTAATCTAATTCTTTTCATAAATGAACATGATGAAATAGGGAAAGTACTTGAATTTTTCATATTTTCATGATCTAAAGATAATGATAATTATGTTGATCTATAAATAAATACCATTTTCTTTACGTTTCTTTTCAAGGTGTTACACAAATAGAGAGCTTATATCAGAGGATAGACTACCTAACTGGGAGCCTTTTCAGTGTTTGTGATTCTGAATAATAGATCCACCATTCTGCTGATTCTATAGTGAACAAATGTTGTAATATGCTTTTGCAGAATCGTAAATAAGCAGTGATTTCAATGAGTGCTGGATTATTCTTTAAGAAGAATGGATTTCTGTGATTCTGTTCTTATAAAATTCAGTGAATAGTTTGGATAATGTTTTATATTTAAATTGTCATCTGATTATAAGGAAGATTATTTGTTGGGATTATATATTTATGACGTCATGGTTCATGACATGTGTATAATTTTTCTATTTATTTTTTGTAACTACAATTAAATATCAAATATTAAAGGGATTTTATTGCAAATATCAAAGTGTTTAGTAAAATTGTATCAGAAGTAGAATTTTCCTGAGTTGTTAACTTTAACATGTTTAACAGATCATACCAGGATCATGATTTTGAAACGAGTTGTTAGCTACAACAGATCATACCAGGATCATGGTTTTAATACGAGTTGTTTACTAAGATAGATCATTCCGGGATCATGGTTTTAATACGAGTTGTTAGCTACAATAGATCATTCCGGGATCATGGTTTTAATACGAGTTGTTAGCTACAACAGATCATACCAGGATCATGGTTTTCTTACTAGTTGTTTAGTTTAACAGATCATCTCAGAACCATGATCCATTAGCTCATTTGCATGTGAAATTTTCCTATACCAAAATCATATCAAAACCATGGTTTACACATGAGTCGTTAGCATGATCCCATAGGCTGTTTTTTTTCTGTTTGGGGGTGTATGTTTGAACTCAACATGGCACGTATGGACGCCATTTATTCCAGAAATGGAGAAAATGTTTTGTTTTTGGTTGCGTTAGAGGAAGATACAATGAAAAAACTGTCATTTTCATTCATGGATTTGATTGAATCAAAATCGTACATAGAATTCCCAGAGGGTGGGGACGACGAGGAAGTAACAGCCTTTAGATCCAAACTGGCAGATACACTCAGACAATCGGTTTAGATCTTTATAAGCATGCAGACTCAAGTTTTAGGTATATACTATTGTAAGTTATTGGATCTAGTAACTTCTTATGAAAGAAATAATTTTATGACATTAACATTGTAGTGTTCGATCGTTTTACTTACTTTATTATGCATACGAATTAAAAAGAATAAACCTTCTTTGTAGAAATGATATCTTAGCGATATTTTATTTGTATTACATAAAATGCAAGTAAAGTATTTCTAAGGGATACAAGAAAAACACTTACGAGTGTTGTCCAAAAAGTTCGTGGACAATGACGTTTTTGTGAAAATAAATGGTTCTTTATAAATCTTTTGTATATCAAAATATTTGTTATGAAAAAACAAATCAGAATGACTTAATTTTTATTGATGGAAAGTAATATTTTTGTAAAAATCAGGGTCTTTAAAGGTCGCGGATAGTGCGCACGGACCAAGGTTAAAATGACATAAACTCTGGTATAAAATGTTCGGATTAAAATAATTATTTTCGATATAAGACAAGTCAAAAATTAATAAAAATTTTATGTAACACAAATAAAGAGGCTATAATCATTTTATGATATCATATCTTAAGTATCGCTTACTATATAGACAGTACAAATACTAAACAAAAACCCTAACAAATATGTGTCAAAACTCGACAAAAAAACGACATCGGCAGTCCGCACGGGTCAGCGTCCGATCAAAAAAATTAGTTTTTATACGGTTGAAACAACGAAAGAGACAAAATATTTGTTAAAACAACTCAAAATTATTGAAATATATTTAGTGTTTAAATTTCAGATCGGTATATACGATTTTTCAACAGTGTGTACAAATTCGAAGACACTACAAGAATTTAAAACCACATGTAATTTACTGAAAATGGAGATTTCTATTCATGACGTTGTTATAAATCTAGCGCAGCGTCGGACTGGGCTGTGCAGTTTGTGTATACAAACTGTTTATTTAGATGACGTTCGTAAATTCTGCATTGTTTTGAATTTTAAAAATTAGAGAAATTATAATCTATACTTAAAGATTATTGCTAGCACTTGGAAGTGCGTTGCCCCTTAAAAAAGAAATGAAGTATGTGTCCATGAACATGTGTTGAGTCAAAACCCAAATGTTTGACGTTAATGAAGTTAGCTTAACGTCAGACTGGTCCGTGCGCACAATCTGCGATCTTTAAAGACCCCGATTTTTACAAAAATATAATGTTTCCTACATAAAAATTAAAACTTTCTGACTTGGTTTTTCACAAGAAATATTCTGATATACAATAGATGCATATAGAACCATTTATTTTGACAAAAATGTCATTGTCTACGAACTTTTAAGACAACCCTCGTATTCATCGATTTTTTGACGTTCTCTTGTTTGTCAGATGACAATTTTGGAAGCCTATATATAAATATATGTATATATATATATATATATATATATATATATATATATATATATATATATATATATATATACAAAATGTGACGAAAGCGGTCCAATATATCTTAGACATGTCCATATGTATACAAAAAGATTTTAAAGATATATCAAATTAAAATTGATGTCTTGGGTGACAATAATCTTTGCTATTGCCGTTGAAGCCAGTAAAAATATAATATTTCTCGATTATAGTTTTACAATTCATTACTCCAATTATCTAATAAAACTGATTTCTCCCCTGGTCTACAATAACAATATCTAAGTCAATTTCTACATTTAGATCTCTATTGCACGAATGTTCCATATATCGGATATGAAGTTACAATTGCAATCTAAGATACATGTATGGAACACGTACAAGAACTGTCAGTTATCAGTGCTTGATTATTGACATCAGTAGCGATATCAGATGGTAACAATAGTGTGTTCTTTGCCTGATTTGAACCGTAAATGCCAGGATGAATCGACTGCGATGACGACTTTGCATCCAAAGGCAGCCACACAAATATTACCGTTGCTTTTATTAGATTAAGCATACCCTCCCCATATTTTTTTATACCAAATAAAGGTTGTCCATGAAAGTTATATTTGATTTCCCGAATCTGTTTTGACCCCGTGTATTTCACCACTCTACTCTGTACGCAATCGTGTGTGTGCATGCTCACTAGCAGATCTCCATTTACAGTATAATGTAGACCAGGTGCCAGACAGTCGGTTAATTCTAAAAGTATCTCAACTTTGTTTTTCCTGTAAACGTACACTTGTCTGTTGAACCTACGGATTATAAACTGGTTCCTGGTGTGAGTTTACCGTTATTGCTGAGACTACGTAAGAAATCTTTACTGTTTGTAACAAAGACTCATTTTGTCTGTAAGTCTCAGTGTTTAATCTCGACCACAGATCCAGATCAAGTTTTCCATACCAATTTCCTTCCATAACTCCTCCAAGTAAATGCTTCCTCTGTACGGACTCTGAATTGTGGACATTTCATTTACGTCGGGCATTAATTTTAGGACACCATCAGCACTAATTGACACGTGGTTTCTAGAAGTTTCCTCGTAAGTCTTGTATGCAGAATATACATCACGATCTTCTTTTCTTTTCTTTCTTGGAGAGCGCTCATCAACTTCGAACAAATCTGCATTATCATCCGTGTGCATTAGTGCGATACATTGCAAATTTCACATACGCACAAGTGAGTTAAGGCTACGCATGGAGGTCTCTATGCTAAAAATTCAAGTAAAATTTATAATGGCTATATCTATGATATTTAATACCGGTAATTTAATTTTGTGACACCGGTAAGTTTTATATAATGTCATAGTAAAGACTTCCTGCCTACTAATTTTAGCCTTATTTACTGTGCTGCTAACCAAGGCAACAATGATAGTTAAAACTACTTGAAAAAATAGGTAAACCTTATATGCATAAATAATCCAACCTTTCAAACTATCATTGATGACCATGGAATACCAAAAACTCCATACAGTGGTTCCTTATATTTCCATTTAAATGTGAAATAACGTTAAAAACTTAGATTTAAAAATATTACTTTAACAGTTAGAGTTAGGGATTTAATAATTCACCTGTTTATTATTATGTCAAGACCATCACTTTGGTATAAAGGATTTTACCTATTGAATTTGTCCTTAAACTTACAGTTTGACCAACTTTTCAACAACAGTACCCTTGACCATACCTTTTTAGCTAGAGTTCGGACTTTCATTTTTTTTTCTTCTCCAGAGACTACTTATATCTTTCCTTTTTGTCTTTGACCTTGGCGTCTTAAACTTTTAAAAGACTTGAACTTCAGGAATAACTTTCAAATGGTCTCTGTTTGGGCTTTCATATTTCCATGAGTATTTTCATTGAAATCTTTTTTGGGGGGTATCAACATTTTTTATCCCTGGTCTTTACTTAGAGCTTGATTTGCACTGGAGGAACAATAACTTCGCCATTAGCTGTTAAACGGGGACTGAAGTCAACCAATTACTTAATAGGACTTTATTGTAAGCACCCTTACTGCTTACCCTTTTCAGCAATAGGAAGCACTTACAAATACACACAAATTCCAATGAAGTGTCCTAAAGCATAATTTCCATAGGTTTGCAATTTTATTTTGGACCATCAGAATATTGAGGGTTCAAATGAAAGGGTTTTTTAATTTTTTTTTTATTTTTTTTTTATAAAATGGCAATTGAAATGTTTTAAAAAATTCTCTAAATCAAAAGTCAAAAATTTCCTACTTATAAAATAAATATAGGTTTAAACAGTAATAATGGGGGTCTATGAGGTACCACTTAATTGCCCATATACATTATAAAATTCTATCTAAAAATACCATAATATAGTCTGGACAATTCATTGTGATGATTGATCTTATAGAGTCAACTCTTTATTATGTATTATCGAGATTTAGATTTTAAAGATCTGCAAAGAATTACGTGACGCATTTAACAAATTTCAACCTCATATTTTTGTACAAACAAGAAACAAACGGTTGCGTAGGGTTATTACAGAAAAAAATAAATTACCGGTACCCGGTAATTTGATGTTTACGTCGTCAAATGAAAAATCATATTTCAAAACATATTTCAATTACAACGTTGAATCACAACTACTCACCACCAGTAAAACCTTGCCTGTATTGACACTTTACATATTTAAACATTCACGTTCCCTCTAACTGACTCAGAATAATTTTGATTATATCATACATGCTTTGTAACTGATAGTTTTCATTTTGAAAAAAATGACACAAACGCGATATTCCTGTATTGAGCTTTCCTCACCGAGATATTTGATTATTTTTTTTATTTTCCCCTGACATCTTATCCGCAATAACCAGGTTTCTATGAAAATCAATACTAATAGAATCATTCATTACTACGAGTGTGGGATGGTGAAATTCTATCGAGGGGACAAGATTCACGGTCTAAGATGAGGCTTTGCCGATTCCTAAACCGTGAATCTTGGTCCCGAGGTGGAATTTCACCATCCCACATGAGTGTGTAATAAATGATTTGTACTGCCTTCCACATGTTCCATGTCACATTTATTCAATGAAATTATAAAGACACGGATTACAAAAGGTATCCACTTTATTGTCGCAATAACAGTACACGTAGGGGCGCGTTGTAGCAACCTCTAATGATAAAATGCCGCTTAATGATACAAATAGCATTAAGCGTTGCAATTGCAACGCTTAATGCCATAAATTATTGCATTAATAGCTGACATTATCAATCGCTAATGCTAAATCGCCGCTTAATGACAGAATTATATCATTAAGCGTCACAAATGCAGTGCAACACCGACGCTTAATGAAACAAGCAAATATCGACATATTCGACGCTTAATGATACAAACTAGTGTATCATTAAGCGTTGCAGTTGCAACCCTTAATGATATAAAATTTTGAAATCGCTTGTAATATCTAAGAGAAACACACATCCACCTCTCCTAAACAATGAAATTTCACTTGTTAAAATATTTATATATGCCCTTGTGCTATATTAATGGTAATTATAGAAGTTTTACTGTGTTTTCTATCTAGTCAATGCAAGGAAA